GTTTTTCAAAGTATCCATACATAATGAATTTGTGTTATTTTTTCATACAACAGCTAGAGTCCAACTTTTCTTGTTCTTTTTCTTCTTTTCCTCTCCCAAATACTGGGATTTGAATCTAGGGATGTTCCACCACTGAGCTATACCCCCAGCTCTTTTCAAAACTTTTTTTAAAATTTTTTGAGACAGCTCAGTTGTTGAGGTTTGGACTCAAACCTGCAATCCTCCTGCCTCAGCCTCCTGAGTCTCTGGGATTATAGGAGCGTGCCACCACTTCCAGCACTAATAGATCATTTTAATTTGAGTATGAAAGTAGTGCATTGACAAGACCTGAGTGGGGACATTATTTCTGCCAAGCCTTGATTTTCTTATGCTCCATAAGCACTGCTACCCCTGATACCTGGCACTGCACGCCCTCCGTGTATAGTGGTTGATCAGTAGGTTGGTGGGTTGCATGAGAAGACAAAATAAAGGGAGGAAGACAACATGGTGTAGCAGAAGAGTAGACTGAGACTTGTTTCTAAACTCCAAAGCTACCGCTTACCAGCTGTGTGATTTTAAACAAGTTGCTTAATCATTCTGTGCTTTCATCTCCTCAAGAACAAAATAGCAAAAATGTTAATAACTTCTCTATAGGTTTTTGTGAGAAGTGATACTACGTTTTTAAATACTATGTAGCATCTGCTTCACAGCCAAAGCTTGCAAAAAAACTGGCTATTGTTACTGTGATAAGCAAATGCATGACCAGCTCAGTCAGGCTACCTTATTTATAAGGCTGTAGCCCCCAGGACACTTACTGGAACCACATTGACACTAGGGCCCAGACGGCTACTGCTGTCACCCCCTCCTGCCATCCCCTCCCCAAGATCAGAGAGCATCTTCCCTTGGTCCTAGCCTGGTTGTGAAGCTCGCCCAGGGTTTGTGCGCCAGGTTTGTTTGACCCCTCACCCCCGCCCCCTGAGCCGTGTACCTGCGCCACCTCGGGCCTCACGTTGAAGGTATCCAGCCAGTCGCTGAAGCGCGGGTAGCTGTTGAGCTCGGGGGTCCTGTCGCTGGGGGGCACGCTCAGCTTGCACTGCCGCTGCTTGCAGATGTAGCGCACCAGCTTCGCCTGCGGGGAGTCCAGGAGAAGGAGGTCATGTCCATGGGTGGCAGGAGCAAGCAGGCAGCCCCAAGTGAGCACGGCCCAGGGCAGGCCTGTCCTGGTCCCTTTTGTGGCCACTCACACAGCAAATGGGAAGAAGGGCCAGGGGAGCAGGCAAGGAGCCCAGGAGCCACCCACCACCCACTGCTGCACCCGAGGATGGCCATTGCAGCCCTGCCCTCCGGTCCCTGCTCCCTGGGGAGGAAAAGATCAAGAAGGGTCAGAACAGAACCTGGTTAGACCGACGCCAGCCCTCTGCCTCATGGGGCAGCGGAGCTGGAAACGGACACCATGGGAGACGTGGGGGCTCAGGGAGGACGGGCCACCTTCCAATCAGGACACTCAGCCTAGCTTCAGGCTGCCAGGGTTGGCATCCAGGGCTCAGTCACACGCAGGTGCTGTGGCTTTGGACAAGTTACTTAACCCCGGGAAAGCTTCCGTTTCCTCCTCCAGAAAATGGGATAACAACAGAAGCTCCCTCTCAGGGAAGTTAAGAGGAGACACAGCACCTAGCACACACCCCGTGCACGTGACCACCCAAAGTGCTGGCTTCGACCGCTGGTGAGAGCCCCAGACCCGGGTCCCTAAGTATGCATTCGGGGATTCACACCTGAAAAGTTCACAAATTCCAGACAGTGGACAGACTGAGGCCAAATGACAAGCAATGGCTCCAACGGGTGCCCCATGCTGGATGGAGGGAGGTGGTGGCAAGACACACAGGAGGGGACACCTGGGACTGGCTGTACAGATGGGATTGTTCCAGCAGGAGGTCAGCCAGGCGACTCGGCAGGCTGAAGTGAGCTCTCCACCCAAAGAGAACCAGGGAGCCGCCTGGCTTGACCAGGATGAAGTGACCCAGAGAGCAGTGAGAGCTTCATGAGGTGGTGACAAGACTCTAGTGGCCTGACTTCCAAGCTTCTCCCAAAGGTAAGCGCCACCTTCAAAGTCTGGCCCAGGAATCTGCCCCTTGGAGACATTCCCAGGTCCCACTGCCCTGGACAGCAGGCTGCTGTCTGGCTAACTCATCCCTTCTCCTTTCAGGTGTAAACTTCTCAGTATACTTCTCTAAAGAAAAAGGACTCTTGTTAACGCACACGCTAAAAAATTCATCATTTTAAGCCAGGTGCGATGGCGCACACCTGTAATCCTAACAGCTCAGGAGGCTGAGGCAGGAGGATCCTGAGTTCAAAGGCAGCCTCAGCAATGGGGAGGCCCTAAGTAACTCAATGAGACCCTGTCTCTAAATACAATACAAAAAAGGGCTGGGATATGGCTCAGTGGTTAACCGCCCCTGGGCTCAATCCCTGATACAGAAAAAAAAAATAATAATAATTTTATATTTCAAATATCTAAAAAGGCTCCCAATTCCCAATAAGGACAGAAGTTTACAATCAATCATTTTGGGACCACGAACACCTTTAGTGGTCTGGGGAGGCCCTTATCTCTAAGAACAAGGCTTGTTCCCCCGCCCACTTTATAGTACTAGGGATTGAACCCAGGAGGGCTCTACCACTGAGCTATATCCTCAGACCTTTTAATTTTTATTTTGAGAAAGGCCTTGCTAAGTTGCTGAGGTTCTCCTCAAATTTAAGATCCTACGGCCTCAGCCTCCTGGCTCGCTGGGAAAACGTGTGTACCGCAGCACCCAGCAGAACAATACTCGTTAAATACACACAACAAAAATCAGTTATATTTAAATTTATTTTTCAAGATACTACTTAATATTGTGATGGAGTAATAAAAGCTTCCTGGTTTTTTTGTTTATTTTGTTTGTGGTGGGGATTGAACCCAGGGCCTTGTGCATGCGAGGCAAGCACTCCACCAACTGAGCTATGGCCCCAGCTTTAAAAGCTTCTTTATTAAAGTCTTAAATAATATCTAAGAGTGAGTCTTATAGTTGTAACAAAATTTGGAGCCAGACAGCTTTTTTTCACAACTGTAACGAGGTATGAATATATCTGGGACCCCTCCTGGTGGCCGAGTCCAGATATCTGCTGACTGTACCTTGTCACCTACAACCTGATTAGATGACAGACTAAACTTCAAGTAAGGGGAAGGGAAATAAAGGTGAAGTTTTATTTCTGATCCATCTTCATGGACCCCCCCTAATTTCTACCCACAGACCCCAGACAGAGAACCCCCATGGTTAAAGAGATGTGTGAAATGAGACATACAATGACAATAAAAACCAGCCACCATGTCACCCTTTCTGGAATTTCCCCCAGACTCCAGTTTGGTCCTACCTCCAATTTAACAACTCTGATAGAGCCCTCCTGGGGTCACTGGCTGCAAACCCTGTAAATCCTGCTCCGTTCAGGGTGCCAGAAGAGTCAGGAGCACGTGGGAGCCACTGCTAGAGAGGGGACACTCTGCTGTATGGTTCTGATGGGTGGCAAGGGCACCAACACAGAGGCAAGGCCAGGGCACCTCTGTGGCTGGAGCCAGTGCTGCCCAGGGCAGACATCGCTAATCCAACACTGCACAGGCTTCCAATGTGACCAGACATTGCTAATCCAACATTCTGTGCTGAGTCTCACAGCTACCAGTAGCCACATGGGAAGTCCATTTGCTAGTCTATGAGGAAACCTGAGCCTCTGGGAACATTCTTCGGGATAAACATAATTGTCACAAATGTCACTTTTATCCGGAAAGTCTAAGTAGTGGGACTCACATCTGTCTTTCAGGTTCCTACCCATCCTTCCCAGTATAACCAGAGGCAAATTCCAAAATTGGGGCCCGGCCTCCCCTACCAGGATCATCTCCATTCCACCCCACCCCTGTCTCTGCCCCACCTCCAGGCACACACCCACCTACCAGCTGTTCTTCAAATACTTGCCTAGTTTCCTACCCTGGGGCCTCTGCTCAAAATGTCCTTTCTGTCCCTCCCTTCACCAAACCCTTTCCAGGCCCAATCAGGATTAGAATTTCGTTCCCTTCTTGGCAACAGTCGCCCGGACAGTGGTGGGCCTCACAGCTCTCAGCGGGTTCCCCCCACAGACCTGAGCTCCCAGGCCCGAGACCACACACACTTCTGAGATGAGCAGAGCCAGGTTCAGAGCTGTCATTTACGGGTTGTGCAACCCCAAGAAAGTTAATTCGCTTCTCTGAGTCTTGGTTCCCTCCTCTGCAAGACAGGAATGACTCGCTCATACTGAACTCTAGGATGGAAACCCCCAGATGACAAGGTCAGGTCCCCCATCATCCATCAGAGGAGGAACTGTGTCCTCCCCATGCATATCTGTCCTCACGTGCCTGTCACTACATCTGCAGTGACACGTGATCACGACACGTGTTCATAAACGGCAGAGGAAGGAGACACGCTTTGTCCCCGTGTTTCCCACCGCCAGTCTGTCCCTCTGCTCCCGATGGCTCTGAAGCCACAACTGCAAACTCAAAACCAGTCGTTTCCACATTAACTGAAAAGGCTGGGCTCCTGGCGCGATCCATCTGTCACCAGCATGGGGGTTCTCAGGCCACCCCTCTGGGAGGGATTGATATCATATCTGTTCTGCACAAGACTTTGGCCGTGGCTGGCCAATACACACAACAGCCAGTTTAGCTTGGCCAGTATGTGGCCTTCTCCAGTTCAGGCCCTTCCAACCTACCCATCATCCCTTGCAGCTTCAAGACACTCATCCCCCTGCCAGACAGGCTCTTTCCAGGGGTTCCTCGGCCTCCAACTCAGCTGAGACACCCCTTCCTCCAGGAAGCTTCCACAGCCCCCAGGCACCAGCCTAGATTATGCATGTCAGTTCTAATTTTTTTTTTTTTTAACCTGTCTGCTTCCTTCTTTGAGTTGAAATCCTGGAGAGACCAGAGGCCCCAATCTGAATTCCAGGTCACCACCAGATCCCCCAAGAAGCAGCACAGTGCCTGGCACACTGTTTGCTATTTTAGACCCTTGGTTGAATGAGATGGCGAGGTGAACACGCAATGCAGGCTGGAGCTTAAGACAGGTTCCAGGTTTATCAAAATGCCATCGGGAAAACAAACGCCCAGTGGGAAAATGATGAATCAGGAGCGTGAGCATCTCAAACACCACAACAAGTTCCCCAGAAAAGGAATGAGAGGTTGGTTTGTTTGGTGTTTTGTTCTGCAGGGTGGGAGATTTGAACCCAGAGCCTCACATGTGTTAGGCAAGTGCTATCCCACTGAGCTACATCTCCAACACTCCCTTTTTACATTTTATTTTGAGACAGCATCTTGCTAAGTTGTTGGGGGCGGGGGGACTCAAACTTGTGATTGTCCTTAGTCTCCCAGGTTGCTGGGACTGTAGGTGTGCACACTGCCCCCAGCTTGTCCCATTTTTTTTTTTTCTTAAAGACTTTTAGAGATCCCTGGTAAAGAGCCCAAGGAAGGCCCAAAGGCAGGTCTGTGCAGAGCACGAGCTGACTCCTCACTGCACCCAGACAATGCACACACCCGGCCAGCCACACCGAGGAACTGGGAAGATGCCAGTGCACGGTGGCCCTTTTGCTAGTGGGTCTCAAGTCCTGGCAGCGGCTGCCACCTGCAAACCTGGGTTCTGCTGAGGAGCACAGCTCCCCTGACTCCCAAAGGATGGATCCCTGGCGCACAGCAGCTCCCCATCACAGAGAAATAGAACTGCTCTTTACTCTGCAGAAAGCCCTGGTGTTCACAGATGGACCAAAGGTTACTTTCCCAGACAAAAGGCAGAGGGGCCAGCCAGGCCAGCCCCAGGGCCCACCAGGAGAGCTTCCATCCGCAGCATCGTCTTCTTGGAACCACAAAAACCGCAAAATATCAATTTTCCCCAATAAAAAAGCACCTTTGGTTCCAGTGATAGGACCTGCATGCAGCCAAGGGGTCGGGAGGACTCTGGCTGCAGAGGGGGGCCTGGGCTTAAGCAGTATGCCTTGTCTTGGGAGCGTGTACCCACCCCTCCCTCGCCACTCAGCCTGGCTCCAGGGAAAACTGAAGAACCCATGAGCGGGCAGCAGGTACCG